TGAGGGTATTCTGGCCACCAGAGGAGCTGTTGCTTCACTGTCCATTTGTAACACTAATGAAGTACTTCCTCATTCTTTGCATGCTTGCTGGAGATTTTTATGGTGTTGTAAATTAGTTAAATCAGCCTCCCCACATAGGTGGTACCTAAATTTAAAGTTAAATTTAAACTTAGCTGCCCCAAGTCCCTCTGCGGAGGTTGAGAAAGGACGGGATAGAAAAGCCCTAAACAAACAAATAAATAATTTTTCCACTTGACAGATGCAACTGTCTTTCGGGCTGCAAAGGTTGACAGCAATCTACACAGATTGGTCGGAAGCTCACTCGGCCCTGGCCTGGCTTCAAACTCATGGCCTTTCGGTCAGTAGTGATCTTAATGCAGCTGACTCCCTGTGATAAAATGGCTTTAGATGAACACCAGGCAGTGATCGTCCATCCCCATGGGCCATCCAGTCCAACCCCATTCTGACAAGAAGCAGGGAAAATGCACTCAAAGCATCCCCAACAGATGGCCATGTAGCTTCTGCTAAAAAGCCTCCAAAGAAGAAGCCTCCACCACACTCTGGGGCAGAGAGTTCCACTGCTGAACAGCTCTCACAGTCAGGAAGTTCTTCCTGATGTTCAGATGGAATCTCCTTTCTTGTAGTTTGAAGCCATTGTTCTGCATCCTAGTCTCCAGGGCAGCAGAAAACAAGCCTGCTCCCTCCTCCCTATGACTTCCCATCACATCTTAATCCATGGCCCTCATCATGACCCTCAGGTCATCTGGAGTTTTGGAGTTAGGTGCCACCTCTATGCAGATGACACACAACTCTATTACTCATTTCCACCTAACTCCAAGGAGGCCTCTCAGGTGCTGGACGAGTGCCTGGCCGCTGTGTCTATCTGGATGAGGAGGAACAAGCTGAAGATCAATCCCGACAAGACAGAGGTCCTCCTGGTCGATCGTAAACCTGACCGGGGTATAGGGTGGCAACCTGTGTTGGACGGGGTTACACTCCCCCTGAAGCCACAGGTCCGCAGTTTGGGAGTCCTCTTACACTTGAGGCTCAGGCGTCGGCGGTGTCCGGGAGGGCTTTTGCACAATTGAGACTCGTGTGCCAACTGCGACCGTACCTTGCGAAGGCTGATCTGGCCGGGGTGGTCCATGCCTTGGTCACCTCTAGATTGGACTACTGTAATGCGCTCTACGTGGGGCTGCCCTTGAAAACGGCTCGGAAATTCCAACTGGTCCAACGGGCAGCAGCCAGGATGTTAACTGGCGCTCCTTACAGAGAGAGGTCAACCCTCCTGTTCAAGGAGCTCCACTGGCTGCCGTTTATTTTCCGAGCCCAATTTAAGGTGCAGGTGCTTACCTACAAAGCCCTGAACGGTTTGGGACCACCCTACCTGCATGACCGCATCTCCGTTTATGAACCCACGCGCTTACTTCGTTCATCCGAAGAGGCCCTGCTCGTGATCCCGCCTGCGTTGCAGGCGCGTTTGGTGGGCACGCGAGACAGGGCCTTTTCTGTGGTGGCCCCCGACTCTGGAACACCCTCCCAAAAGATCTTAGACAGGCCCCTACATTGGCAGTCTTTAGAAAGAACTTGAAGACCTGGCTGTTCTGATGTGCCTTCTCAGATTAGGAAACCTCCAATAACAAGTCCCAGAAGCACTTTAGTAGAACTGAGATTGCTGCACACTGCACACTGCACTTGCCCTATAATCCTTACATATCACCTGTCACATCAGCACTTTTAATCCTGTACCCATTACTCTGGCCTGGCCCAGTTTTATTGTGTCTTAGTGTATTGTTTATTGCTTGTTGTTTAATATTGCTTTAATTGTTTTTAATTTGCTTTAGGTTTGTATTGTTATGTTGTGTTTTGAGTCCTTGGCCTTTGTAAGCCACATCGAGTCCTTCGGGAGATGCTAGCAGGGTACAAATAAAGTTAATAATAATAATAATAAATGTCTCCTCTCAGCCTTTTCTGCAGGCTAAACATGCCCAGCTCTTTAAGCCGCTCCTCATAGTGCTTGTTCTCCATACCATTGATCATTTGAGTTGCCCTCCTCTGGATACCTTCCAGCTTGTCAACATCTCCCTTCAATTGTGGTGCCCAGAATTGGACACAATATTCCAGGTGTGGTCTGACAAAGGCAGAATAGAGCATGGGGAGCATGACTTCCCTGGATCTAGGCACTATACTCCTATTGATGCAGGCCAAAATTCCGTTGGCATATCTTTGTCCCTAACAGTTCAAAGACATACCTAGGTACATCAGTTTAACAACCGAGAAACCTTAGTGCCTTGCATCAATGCAATTTTTTCAAAAAAATTCTTGACTTTTTTTAGATAAGGAAATTACCAGTGAATTCCAGGTGCTGTAGGCGGGATTTCAGAGGAATCAAATGGCAAGCCACTTCTGGATCTTCCTTGCCTAAGAAAATCCTCCGAAATCTGTTGGGGTGCTATAAATCAAGAGGTGATTTGAAGACATGCACGCACACACACACAAGAGCACTAAATTCTGTTTGCTGATGTCAGAATAAATCTGACATTCGGCATGTAGGAAGGCAAAGCCCTCCAGAGTTGCAATTCCACACACACATAATCTACTTTGGGCAGGATTATCCAGAAATCCACCCTGTTGAACCGGTGACGCCATATGTCCAAAAGAGAGAGGAACAAAAACCTTCAGAGAGTGACATTTTTGCATTTGCCAGATATTGTTGTCGAAGAAAGAGCAGCTGTCTCAGTTTGCGCTTCTCTGAAAGAGCCATGATTTATTAAATCGGTATTTTGGGGAAATTCTACACTTTGACGCGAACCCATGAATCAAATCCTTTGCACAAATAAGAGTCAAACAAATCAGTTGAAAACAATGCAAAGTGAATATATGCCCTAATATTTATCGGTGCCACAAGAGTCATTCCCATGGATGGAATCAGGTGGCCGTCCTGTTGGATTTCAACTCTCCACATCCTTTATCATTGGCTATGCTGGTCAAGGCTGCTGGGAATTGTAGTCCAGCAAGATCCAGAAAGCTGCAAGATTCTATCTCGGATCTTCAGGAATGAGGATGATCTTGAATTGACATTGTTTGCATGGTGTTCACATGAAAACAGCTGATTTTTGTACACAAATTCTATCAAAGTATGACTATTCTACTTTCAGTTATGTTTATGATTTTATAGAGATTGAAGATTCTGTTTATAATTCATAGTTTGCATGCAGTCTTATTTATTATATACTAGCTTGGGGACCCAGCGCTGCCCAGGTTATTAGAGAAAGTGGGTAATGGGGGTTCTGTATGCCAAGTTTGGTCTTTATTGGTCATTGGATGATGGTTGCATTGTTTTCKGGAAGTGAGTGAAGTTACTTGAAGTCCCATCATCRATGGTCCACRCTCCTCCAAACTGCAGCAGGATYTAGAGTGGGTCAACCCCATCAGTATTCAAATTTGGGCATATTGGYTATTTGTGCRAAATGTGGTCCAGTGAATGAGAATARYTCCMGCTTATCAGATATTTACATTACYATTCATWACAGGAGCAAAATTACAGTTCTGAAGTAGCAACGAAAATYATMTTATGGTTGYGSGTCACCATAAARAACATGAGGAACTGTATTAAGGGGTCYRGGCATTAGGAAGGTTGAGAAACACTGTTTTAGAAGATGGTCATGATTTGGGTGAAACTTCACAGCTGCAGGTGGAGGAGTTGGCCGRTCCATCTGTGAGCTCAYTGRCTCTCGATTRCCAGGCTGCCCAGTKCCAGGATAATGAGTTATTCTGCCTTGAAGGTGATGYGGATTTGYTTAGAGAGGACCGTTTGCAATTAAGGGTARGCCGAAGTGCTCGGCTTGCTAACAAACAGGAGGTTCAAGGTCAACGTAATGCTTTCATGCTAGGAAAGCGTATTTAACGATCTGATTGTAGTCAACCCTTTGTCAGTGCAACTTTGCTTACACRCTGTTAACTTCTCTGGAATTGCCTTGGCTTTTGGGGAAAGCTTTTGGCTCTTTGGGACTTTGGTTTTGATCATGGTTTTTGGGGACTTTGTCATGCTGCCATGGATTCTTGTTTGACCAATGCTTGTGGATTATATACTTCATGTTATTTGCCTCTGGACCTTGGAAACTATGCCTTTGCATTTAAGACTATGTTTTGGCTATTGAATTTTTGCAACCTTATTTTTATGTTTAATAATAATAATAATAATACTTTATTATTATAAAGGGACTCGGTGCGGTTTACATGAGGCCAAGCCCACAGCACATCAATAAACAAAAGCGATAACAAATAGTCAATACAAAATAGTTAAAATAAACTCAAAAACAGAAAAATACACAATAAGCAATAAATAATAACAATAACATACATCATTTAAAACCTATGGCAGGGCCAAATGTAATAATTAAAATTTTAAATTTTAAATGCTGGGCATGAACACGGTAGGGTAAACTAGGATAGGGTTTTCAGAGAAAGATGAGGGCAAGCAAACAATCCTAAATCAATATTAAAGTGCATTTTGAGGACATATTGCTAAGAGTTTTCCTTATTCTGGGAAGGCACACTGGAACAACCACGTTTTCAGGCTCCTCCTAAAGACTGCCAGTGTTGAGGTATGTCTGATGTCCTTAGGGAGTGAATTCCAGAGTCAAGGGGCCACCACTGAGAAGGCCCTCTCCCTCGTCCCCAGCAATCGCGCCTGCGAAGGAGGTGGGAGCGTGAGCAGGGCCTCTCCAGATGATCGAAGAGGTCATGTGGGTTTGTACACATATGTTTATGATTTTGCTTTTTCTTCAACAAACTACAAAACCTACAGCCTTGGTGTGTGGTGGTAGTGTTCTGCGCAAGGTGAATCTATCCAACAATACCAGTGTGCCTTGTAACCTTACTTTCCAGATAACCCTCGTATTTTAAGACCATGTTGAGGGCAGCATAATTCTTGCTCCTGCTTTAAATGGTGCTATTGTTTTTTTAATAGTATTTCCTTTCCTTTCTCTCCTCTGAAGATCTTGACTGCGAGTGGAGATGGCACTTGCGCACTTTGGGATGTGGAAAGCGGTCAGCTTTTGCAGAGCTTTCATGGCCACGGGGCAGACGTCTTGTGTCTCGATTTGGCTCCTTCGGAAACAGGGAACACCTTTGTGTCAGGGGTAAGATAATGTTTTGTGGCGTAACGGAAATCGTGCGTAGTTCACATTTCTGTCAGTCTGTACACTGCCTTGCCAGAGAAAGAAAATATGCCACGCAGATGAACAATAAATGAGAAGGAGTTTACTCTTTGTAACGCAGAGCAACATATATATAGTCATGGGATCAGTTGCATTGACTCACACAATGTCTTTTTATTCATTATTTATTTATTTACGACATTTATATGCCACCCTTCTCACCCCGAAGGGGACTAAGAGCAGCTTACAATACACACACATACACATACGTACACACACACACACACACATATACAGATATGTACACATACATACACACACATACAATATATTATTATATATTACATGTAATATAAAATATATTTTAGAGAGGTTCAAATGGTCTTTGGGTGTCCATGTGGAAAATCTTCTTCCAGCAGCTCATGAAACAAGAACATTATTTATTTATTTATTTATTATTTATTTCTATCCTATTTCTATCCCGCCCATATCAGCCTGAAGGCGACTGTCTCTCTCGCTGAGCTCTTGCACAGCTCAAACTTACAAATGTAACTGTTGCCAAAACTCCCAGGCCCAACTAGCTTCCCGTGCATGTGCTAACCAATCAGCTTCATGCTTTGCATTTTCAGTTAACACACTCACCAACTGTTTTCTTACACGTCTTAACATTATCTCTGTGTGTGTATATATCTACAATAGAGACAAATATTGGCACAATCTATATAAATAAAATGTAATGTTCGTTTTTGGGATTAACATAACTCAAAAACCACTGGATGAATTGACACCAAATTTGGACACAAGACACCTCTCAGGCCAACGAGTGACCATCACTCATTAAAATACTGAAAACACAGCAAAAGAGACTTTAAAAGCCAAAAATTAAAAAAAATACCATATATACAAGCACATGCAGACACACACATATACACACAAACACACATATATACACATATACACAAAAATATACACACATATATACCCACACAAAACACATATAGACAGACTGGGCCACAACAACAGGGAACGGCTAATAATAATAATAATAATAATAATAATAATAATAATAATAATAACAATAACAACAGTAATAACATTTGCAAAACACACACACACATATACACATGCACATATATACACATATACACAAAACTATACACACACATATACCCACACAAAACACATATACACAGACTGGACCACAGCAACATGTGGCAGGGGATGGCTAGTAGTAGTAATATTAATAATAACAACAACAACAGTAATAACATTCACAAAACAGACACACATATATACACATATACACAAAAATATACCCACACAAAACACATATACACAGATTGGACTACAGCAACGTGTGGCAGGGGGGCAGCTAAAATTTGCGAAACCACACACAAACATACACACACGCACATATATTCACATATACACAAAAGACATATACACAAAAACACATATACACAATAAATGTGTATATACACAGACTGGGCCACAGCAACATGTGGCAGGAGACAGCTAGTAATAATAATAATAGTAGTAACAATATTCGCGAAACCACACACACATATACATAAAAATATACACATGCAAAACACATATACACAGACTGGGCCACAGCAATGTGTGGCAGGGGACGGTTCATAATAATAATAATAATAATAATAATAATAATAATAATAATAATATTCACGAAACCACACGCACACATAAACACACGCACATATATACACAAAAATATACCCACAAAAATATACCCACAAAAACACATATACACAGACTGGGCCACAGCAACGTGTGGCAGGGGACAGCTAATAATAATAATAATAATAATAATAGTAATAGTAATAGTAATAATAATAATATTTGTGAAACCACACACACACACATGCACATATATACACATATAAACAAAATATACCCACAAAAACACATATACACAGACCGGGCCACAGCAACGTGTGGCAGGGGACGGCTAGTACATCATAGAATCACAGAATTGGAAGAGACTCCTAAGGGCCATCCCCTTCCACTGTGCAAGAACACACAACCAAAGTACTCCCGACAGATGGCCATCCAGCCTCTGCTTCAAAATATGGCCCTATAGCCCAAAAAAACCTACAGTGATCCAATAAAAAAGGAAGTTCACAAATAAAAATAAAAATTGCAGCAATATTAATTGCAAAAATATGAAAACTAGCATTGTCAAACTATCATGATTTCTGTTTGTTGGAATTTTGTCTTTGAGTCTGTAACTGAAATTATTTTTTTTATTTTTTTAGGGGTGTGATAAAAAAGCAATGGTATGGGACATGCGGACTGGGCAGTGTATTCAATCTTTCGAAACCCATGAATCGGATATTAACAGTGTCAGGTAGGTGGATTTCTATCCGATGTTCATACCATTGCATCCCACAAGGCATCAATATTGACCCATGGAATGCTTCATGGATATATTGGGGCAAGGATGTGAGTGGAGTATGGGTGGGCTTGGAAAGTCACCCTTTTTGGACCACAGTTCTCAGAATCCACCAGTTGGAATACTCTGCAAGGGTTGAATGAAAAGTAATGCCTCCACCTTCGTTACTTGGGTTTGGATGCGAATATTTTAATAAATCAAACACAGAAATAATCCTTAGAATGTACTCTTTAACTTGCTTGAAATTTCTCTCTGCGTGATACAACGATTGCCCTGAATCAATCTGTCAACCTTTTTTGCTTGTGAAACTCGGTGGTTGCTGTCACAGGACGTCCAACTCTTTGCTTGTCACGCAAGTCAGATGTTCCCACCACAATATCTTTAAACCTTCTCACCCAACGACACACAGTACTCACATCAACACAATCACCACAAACAGCTTGCATTCTCTGATGAATCTCCTTTGTGGTGACACATTCTGCTGTCAAGAATTCCATGACTGCATGTTGCTTAAGTCACATTGACCGACCGTCTGCACAGGGTTCCATACTTCGCACTTTAACAACACAACCATTCAATGCTAAGTCTTCCCACCAAAATGGAACTGTAGAGGAGAATCTACTGAACAAGCCAGTACTTGCTCCATACCAGTACTGCCATCTGTGGAGGAGTTACGAAGGTGGAGGCATTACTTTTCATTAATCCGTTGTGGTCTGCTTCTCTTATTACATTTACATTATTTTACTCTTATTATTGTTATTACATTTATTATTTTACTCTATTTATTATTATTATTATTATTATTACAGTTTTTATTTTTTCTATTTATTATTATTACATTTATTTTACTCTATTATTATTATTATTATTATTATTATTATTAGATTTACGTTATTTTACTCTATTATTGTGATTACATTTATTATTTTACCATATTTCTGCCTCACGCTTGGAATGCGACATTCATATATAGCATCCCTCCTTCGTGGATTTTCACTTTTTGCGGGTGGCCCTGGAGTGTACCATCCACGATAAGTGAGGGAACACTGTATAGATCCAGCTGCAAGTTGTAAGTATTGGAAATTTACCAATAGCTTTCCTGTAATACTGTTTTCTCTTCTATCTAGATATTACCCAAGTGGAGACGCCTTTGCCTCTGGCTCAGATGATGCCACAGTTAGTATTGTTATTATTGTTTGGGGGGGGGGGGGGGGGAATGCAATGCTTTCCTAAAGGAAGTCTAGAACTATCACTCCAACATGACTCCAAAGAAGGAAGGAAGGAGAGAGGAAGGAAGGAAGGAAGGAAGGAGGAAGGAAGGAAGGAAAGGAAGGTAGGAAAGGAAGGAAGGAAGGAAGGAAGAAGAAAAAGAGGGAAGGAAAGAAGAAAGGAAGAGGAGGAGAGAGAGAAAGAAAGAAGGAGAAGAAGGAAAGAAAAGAAAGGAGGAAGGAAGAAGAGAGAAAGAAAGAGAAAGAGAGAGAAGAGAGGGGGAAGAGAGAGAAAGAAAGGAAAGAAAGAAAGAAGAAAGAAGAAGGAAGGAAGGAAGGAGAAGGAAGGAGGAGAAGGAGAAAGGAAGAAGGAAGAAAGAAAGAAGGGAGGGAGAAGAAGGAGAGGAAGGAGGGGAGGGGAAAGAGGGGGGGAGGAAGAGAAGGAGAGGAGAAAAGAGAAGGGAGAAAGAGAGAAAGAAGGAAAGACAAAAGGGAAGGAAGGAGGAAAAGTGAAGGAATGAAGGGAGGGGATTGAGGGGAGAGTGGGAGGAAGGGGAGAAGGAAGGAAAGAGAAAAGGGAAGCAAGGAAGAAATGAGAGAGAGAGGGAAGGAGGGAGGGCAGTAGAAAGAGAAGGAATGGTAGGACCAGGACTTGAATAATGGACAGAACAAATATGAAGCCCATTTAGGGTGGCCACTTATGAATGAACCAGAAAGAAGGGATGCAGCTTGAAGTAATGAAACATATTTGTATAAAATGTAGTTTATCCTCGCTCATACATGAAGCTGGAAATGTAAATGAAATTTTTACAATGTTTATGTGTGTTAGGAAAGCGAGAAGAAAAATAAAAGATGAAGAAAGAAAAAGAAGGGAGAAGGAAAGGAAGGAAGGAGAAAGGAAGAAGGAAGGAAGGAAGGAAGGAAGGAAGGAAGGAAAGGGAAGGAAGGAAGGAAGGAGAGAAAGAAAGAAGAGAAAGAGGGAGGAAAAGTTGGCCACAGCAACCCGTGGTTGGTACACCAAGTTCTGTATTTAATAATCTAGAGCTGATGTGGTCGTAGCAATCTTTCATGGGTCGTCACCCTCTCCCCTCCTGACATTGCTCTCGTTGCCGCGTGGTTTCGAGGCAATGGTGTAGTAATGGTGAGGCCACGGACCATATTTTCGTTCTTGCACACCACTGGTGGGCCATGGACCACAGGTTGGGAACCACTGCTTTAGACCCTTCCCATGTCCTGTAAATGAATCTTGTCGCAGGCACGGTGGGGATAAGTATTTCCATCTTGCTGAGAGCTCCCTATGCAAAGGTGGCATAGCCTTAGTCATAGTATGTGGGAGGTTAAGAGGTTTGGTGTGGTTTTGGATTGTATATAGATTTCCTTCGGGCTCAGCACGGGTTCGAAGCCAATCTGCATCTCATTGCAACCTCGCCCCAGTCTTGTGATGCAGAGAGGTGCTTTCCCAAGACCACTTCTGGTGTTGCATGGCTCGTGGCCTCCAAGAACAACACCGGCTCTATTCTTCTGACCTTCATGTTTGTCCTGAAGCTTTGGAGCTCTCTACTTGTGTCTGGACCGGTTTGCATGTGATTGCACCCAGGCAATATTTTATTTATCGTGTCAGGAGCAAGCCAAACAGTTGTATTGCATTTTTAAACAAACAAACAAACAGAACACAAAGTTTTCAAGCTTAAATGTCCTTTTGACCATACGATAAATAAAAGGACTTTCTGCGAAGGTGTTTAGAGTGGTTTGTAGGTCTTCTTCTGAATGCGCACAGATGACGTTGTCATCAGCATATTGGAGTTCTAAAACAGATGTTGTTGTAACCTTGTCAGCTGAGGTTAAATAGCTTGCCATCTGTCCACTCCGGTGGGAAGCTTCTCATCAACAACCATGACAATAATCTCAATCAACATTGAAGGCATGTCTGCTGCCAAAGAACATCTGCTTTATGAACTGTGTCAAGATAAGAAATGTGATATGTTGTGTGTCCAAGAAACACACAGGGATAAACAACAGAAATGACCAAAAGTTCCAGGAATGATGGTTCAAAAAATGTACCTGTTCCGATTTACATATATGGTAGAATGTATACATATATCTGGGTTAACATATTTCCCCCTGTATGCTTTTCTTTCCCACTCAGTGTCGTTTATATGACCTGCGAGCAGACCGAGAAGTCGCCATTTATTCCAAAGAGAGCATCATCTTTGGCGCCTCCAGCGTGGACTTTTCTCTTAGTGGTAAGGAATGATCCATAATATAATATATTATGTTATACTATATTATGTGGTATTCTAATAATATAATATAATATAATATAATATAATATAATAATATAATATAATATAATATATAATAATATATAATAATATATAATAATATTATAATATAATATATTGTATATACATGTAATATTACTAATAATATTACGATATAGTGGTATGGAGCAATATAGCAATGTTTAATACTGATATTGTACTATGCTAAACTATATAAATAAAAATGTAATGTTCGTTTGTGGGATTAACAGAACTCTAAAACCCCTGGACGAATTGGCACCAAATTTGGACACAAGACACCTAACAACCCAATGTGTGTCCTTCACTCAAAAAAAATGATTTTGTCATTTGGGAGTTGTAGTTGCTGGGATTTATAGTTCACCTACAATCACAGAGCATTCTGAACCCCACCAATGATGGAATTGAACCAAACTTGGCACACAGTTCTCCCATGACCAGCACAAAAATACTGGAAGGGTTTGGTGGGCAATGTCCTTTGGTTTTGGAGTTGTAGTTCACCTACGTCCAGAGATCACTGTGGACTCAAACAATGATGGATCTGGACCAAACTCTACATAAATAGTCAATATGGCCAAATGTGAACACTGGTGGAGTTTGGGGAAAATAGAATCTTGACATTTGGGAGTTGTAGTTGCTGGGATTTATAGTTCACCTACAATCACAGAGCATTCTGAATCCCACCAACGATAGAATTGGGCCAAACCTCCCACACAGACCCCCCTATGTGGGCCACAGCAATGCGTGGCAGGGGACGGCTAATAATATAATATATTGTATGTAACATATACCTTGTAAGCCTCTCTGAGTCCCCTTCGGGGTGAGAAGGGCGCCATATAAATGTCGTAAATAAATGAATAAATAAATAATATCTGTGTGGGGTCCTGGAACCAAACCTCTACAGATCCCAAAGGCCCACTGTATATGATCAAACGACAGTTTGTAAACAAGAGGAATCTTGTATTGAAGGTAGTGCCATGACTTCTTACATATGTTGACTTTTTTTTTTCAGGCCGCTTGCTGTTTGCCGGTTACAACGATTACACCATCAACGTGTGGGATGTTTTGAAAGGGGCTCGCGTGTCGATCTTGTTTGGCCATGAGAATCGCGTCAGCACTTTGCGGGTTTCCCCGGATGGGACTGCATTCTGCTCTGGATCATGGGATCATACTCTAAGAGTGAGGAGACCTCCACTGCTCTTGTCTCTTCTGCTTGTCCTTTTCTTTTGCTTTGCGTGTGTGTATTTATTTATTTATTTGTATCCCATCCTTCTCAATCCCCGAAATTCGGCACAAATACCTGATACACCCAAATTTGTTCCAGTGAATGAAAATATATCCTGCATATCAGATATTTACAGTTATTCATTTATTATTATTATTATTATTATTATTATTATTATTATTATATTATTATTATTATTATTATTATTATTATTATTTTAATAGTAATAAAAATATTATGTAATATTATTATATTATATTATATTATTAATAATATAATATAATTATATTATAAATAATATAATAATTAATAATAATAATATATTATTATATTATATTATTAATAGTGTAATTATTATTATTATTAATATATTATTATTATAGATATAAATTAATAATAATATAATATTATATTATATTATTAATAATATATTAATTAATAATAATATATTATTATTATTATTGTAGATATAAATTACAGTTATGAAGTGGGGGAATCCTTTGTCAGGAGGTGATTAGCTGGCTCTGATGGTGTCTTGTCTGGGATTCCCCTATTTTTGAGTGTTGTTTTTTTATTTACTGTCCTGATTTTAGAGTTTTTAAAATACTGGTCGCCAGATTTTGTTCACTTGCATGGTGTCTGTTTTCGGTTTGTGTTTTGGTTTTTTTCTTTATTGTAATTGTTATTTGGGTTTGGCCTCATGTAAGCCGCTCCGAGTCCCCATTGGGGAGATGGTGGCGGGGTATAAATAAATTTGTTTATTATTATATTATTATTTCCTCCTTCCTGTTGAAAGCCATTAAAAACCACAAGAAGCATGTGGACAATTTCAGCAGAAAGCAGAAAGTTTATTTTAAAAGACATGGACTATATCAGGCATGTGCAAACTTCGGCCCTCCAGGTGTAGGCTGTTAGGAATTGTGGGAGTTGAAGTTCAAAACAGCTGGAGGGCCAAAGTTTGCCCATACCTGGACTATATAGATTGTGTATTTATCTTACTGCAGAAACCTGATTGATTTTAGAAAATCCCAATGCCTTGTAGAACCTAATCACTATTTACCTTTTCTCTCTACAGATCTGGGCTTAATCAACAGTGCTTTCCCCAAAATACACATTTTACAAAGGTGACATCATGAGATCAACCTGCTTGCTTCCCTTCTCAAAATCTCAATTTGGGGTCAGAGGGAAAGCTGCAGCAAGCAAAGCAATTGCAACACAGTGATAGACCAAATGCTCCATTGTCGGTGTTTACCACGTTGTTGCCTGAATGCAAACACTACTAGTTAGAAAGGGTCATATATCCTTTTTTATGAAAAAAGGAAAAAATAATAATCTGTGTGTGGTATAATAAGCTGTTTTTAATTCTGTTTTGGAAATCTCCCTTAGAAATAGTTGACGCCAGACTTCTACTGAAATCACCCGCAAAGCCAGAGTTTAGTATTTTCGTGCACATTCTGTGTATGTGGTCCTTGCATGAGATGACGTTTCTTATACTAAAGTCAACTTGGAAACCAATCGGACTTTAGCTTTTTAATCAGGGTATTCAAGGGCTTCTCGACACATTCCATAGAAGCAGCAAGAGAGAAATGGGGAGTGGTTTATACTTGCTCCCTCTGCTTTCCAGAGACTTGGATAAGAAGCAAATGGAGGGTAGTACGTAATTAGAGCGTCATGCTAGGCCTGGGTTCAAATCCGCACTCAGCCTGGGTGACTTAGAGCCCAACTCCTGATTCTCATCCTAGCCTACCTCATCGGGGTTTTGTGAGGAGAACATGCCGAGATCCTTGTACACTGCCTTGACCACCTTTGAAAAAAAAAGTGGGTTATAAAAATATATGGTTTCATTTTATTTTTTTATTTTTTTGAGAAACTGCAAGTCGCTTCTGGTGTGAGATAATTGGCTGTCTGCAAGGATGTTGCCCAGGGGATGTTTTGATGTTTTACCATCCTTGCAGGAAGCTTCTCTCATGTCCCCGCATTGGCAGGGGCGTCTGAAGCAATAGGCAAATTACGCATTTGCGTAGAGCGCAAATCCCCGAGGGGCGCTCTTGAGGCACCCCCGGCTATAGCAGGGGACAACGTAAGAGCCTCTTTTCCAGCTGGAATTCTGCCCTGATCCATTTTCCTTCTTTTCACTTAGGCGATCCCTCGCTTTCCGAGGATGATTGTCTTCCAGTGTTTTTGTGGGTCCGTATGTGGCTGTGGAGCCCTATTCTTGATCTGCATCTTCTTCCGCAGTGAAGGCATTGGTTTCCAGGTGGAAGGCATTCTCGGTCGGGGTTGGCTTGAAACGCCTTCCTCTTGGCATGCTTCTCCCTTTCGCCCTCCATTCGTGCCTCTTCAAATTCTGCAGCACTGCTGGCCACAGCTGACCTCCAGCAGGAGCGGTCAAGGGCCAGAGCTTCCCAGTTCTCAGTGTCTATGCCAGAGTTTTTAAGGTTGGCTTTGAGCCCGTCTTTAAATATGTTTTCCTGCCCACCAACATTCTGTTTTCCGTTCTTGAGTTCGGAGTAGAGCAACTGCTTTGGGAGAAGGTGGTCAGGCATATGGACAATGTGGCCCGTCCAGCGGAGTTGATGGCGGAGGACCATCGCTTCAATGCTGGTGGTCTTTGCTTCTTCCAGCACGCTGACGTTTGTCCGCCTGTCTTCCCAAGAGATTTGCAGGATTTTCCGGAGGCAGTGCTGATGGAATCGTTCCATTTTCCTTCACTCCCCAAATGTCTAGCATTGCAATAAATGGAAAGTTTGGTTGAAGTGTAGAAATGCAGGCATCTAATGAAAAGGGATCGACATTGGCAACGTGACCAAGGGAACATGAAGACAACCAGTGTGTGAGTTATATATACAGACCTGGGCAATTATGATCAATGTTGAATTAGAAGGAATCTTTCAGCTCAGGAAGGGGTGGGGGCAGGGTCATCAGTTTGCCCACAGCCTTGAACCTTCTCGCGTGTGCAAGGCAGCCGAAATGCAAGGGGCACAGCTAGCACGTGGACGCTGCAAGCTCGGCTTCAGCTCTCAGCGACAGGGCTCTGCATTCGTTTCGCCTTTAGCAAAGTCCTCTGCTCTGCATGATCAAAAGGCGGCATTTACGCTGTTTGACCACCTACCGCTTTATGGTTGCTTTGTACCAATGACGACAATCGAGAGAAGGCTTTCTTTACTGTTTACATTCACTTAAAGCGAGGATTCACCAATGAGATGGGTTTCCCTGCGCCCTCCCCTCCCTTCGCTTTTGGGGAGATTTCGGGAGAATTTGAAAGCAAAGGGATTGAGTTTATTATATTTATTCAGTGATTGGTTTCGGGGGGGGGGGGGTGCCAAAATACTGTTTGCTTACACTTAAAAATTATCTAGGGCTGGAGCTGACAGAGGGAGCTCATCCACACTCTCCTCGGATTCGAACCTCCGATCTGTTGGACTTCCGCCACCGGGGGATCCTAAAAATATATATGGTAAAGAATGAGATGTGCAAAAAGACATTTTGCGCCCTTCCCGGACACGTGGGGCTTGTTTTGATGATCGCACGTGCATTTCCTCTCCTCCAAAACAATGGAGGAGAAGGAATTGGATGCTGCTTCTCTTCTTTCTCTCTTTCTCTGCTTTAGTGGAATGTGTAAATCAGCCCTGACTCTTGAAACATTCCTTTGTTGGGAAGAGAGGAAGCCAAGGGAGTGCTTTTCGGAATGATTGAAATCAGTTTTGCTCTTGATTTATTTACGTTGGATATAGATTGTACCTTTTGGTTGTTTGCTACTTAACTCCAGCGCTTCCAGAGAGAGGGCTGCTATGCCTTTCCATCTGAAAGCACTGTCTGTGAGCAGATTCCTACTGATGTTGTGGTTAGTAGTATTAGAAAGGGAAAGTGGCCTTGGAGACGAAGGCTGAAGCCCTAACTGAGTAACTGGGTTGTTGTGTGTTTTCCAGGCTGTATGGCCATGTTCCAGAAGCATTCTCTCATGATGTTTCACCCACATCTATGGCAGGCATCCTCAGAGGTTGGGAGGTCTGTTGGAAACTAGGCAAGGGAGGTTTATATATCTGTGGAATAATGTCCAGGGTGGGAGAAAGGATTATTTGTCTGTTGGAAGTAGGTGTGAATGTTTCCATTGGCCACCTTGATTAACATTAAACGGCCTAGCAGTTTCAAGGTCTGGCTTCTTACTGCCTGGGGGAATCCTTTGTTGAGAGGTGATTAGCTGTCCCTGATTTTTTCTTGTCTGGAGTTCCCCTGTTTTCAAGTGTTCTTTTATTTAAATAATAAATCTATATAAATGAAAATGCAATGTTCGTTTGTGGGATAACTAAAAAAACAATGGATGAATTGCCACCAAATTTGGCCACAAGACACCTACTAACCCAAGGAGTGACCATCACTCAAAAAAAATTTAGTTTGTCATTTGGGAGTTGTAGTTGCTGGGATTTATAGTTCATCTACAATCAAAGAGCATTCTGAACTCCACCAATGATGAACCAAACGTGAACACAGGAGTCCTATAATCAATAGAAAATACTAGAAGGGTTGGTTGGCATTGATGCTGAGTTTCGGAGTTGTAGTACACCTACATCCAGAGAGCACTGTGGGCTCAAACAATGATGGATCTGGACCAAACTTGGCACGAATATTCCATATGCCCAAATATGAACACAGATGGAGTTTGGGAGAAATGGACCTTGACATTTGGGAGTTGTAGTTACATTGAAGAAGGTTAGAATAATGGTTTAATCAGAGTTGGACAGTCTTATCTTGAATTACAGTTTTAGGTAAATATTCAAAAACATTTAACCTACTGATGCCTAAGTTAATATAATTTTATTGGTATCTATTTTTATTTTGAAATTGACTCGTAAATGCTGCATTTCCCACCCTCAGTTTATACTCGAGTCAATCCATTTTCCCAGTTTTTTGTGGTAAAATTAGGTGCCTCGGCTTATATTCAGGTCTGCTTATATTTGAGTATATACGGTACATATATTAGCAACCAACACTTTCTCATTACTTTATTTCCCAGAGCGCTAGACTGGGTCACAGCAACGTATGGCAGGGGATGGCTAGTAAATAAAATTAATTAATTAATTAAAGGACACTAAAAAACATGGGAACTCCAGACAAGAAAAAAATCAGGGACAGTTTGCTGGGCCAGCTTCCTTGTTTGCATTTGTTTGTTTGTTTGTGTTTCATTGCCCTGTCAGCCTGTTTTTCCCAACACTAAAGACTGAGGCTATTTATTTGATCTAACTATTTTTCATACCATTGCTACAGTGGTGGTGGTGGTGGTGGTGGTGGGGGGGAATATTTAGTCAGATACCAATTGTACAAGTTCTCCCACTTAAAAAGATGAGAGAGGCCTGTAATTGACGTCATAGGTAGACCTCAACTATCCAGGAGTAGAGATCATCATCATATTTAATTTCTTATTAATCGCCCTCCATCCGAGATGCTCTAGGCGATTTACAAGCTAAATTGTAAAAGATAAAAATACATACATACAGAAATTGATGATTATCATAGATCAAATGCTCTAGCGAAAAGCCAGGTCTTAAGTGCTAGAGTAAAAGGCCCTAAGTCACACATGGCTCTCATGTAGGGCGGCAAGGAATTCCACAAGGCAGGGGCAGAAATAGAAAAAGCCCTGCATCTGGTACTTTCCAAACGCCCTTTTCTAGGACCCGGTATATAGAGTAAGTTGCATTGGGCTGGTCGTTGCGGCCTCCGATGATGGGAGAATGAGAGGCGGTCCCTAAGGTACGATGGACCCTGGCTGTAAAGAGTTTTGAAGGTCAGAACTAACATCTTATATAGACCACAGTAATCAGTTGGAAGCCAATGTAAGTGCTGTAGCACTGGTGTTATATGGCATTTCATGGGCGTTCTTGTGAGTAGCCTGGCTGCCACATTCTGAACAATACGGAGCTTTCGGGTCGTAGACATCGGAAGGCCAACATACAAGGCGTTGCAATAGTCCAGCCTAGACGTGACCGTGGCATGGATGACTGTTGCCAGAGCCTCATCAGATAGGTAGGGTGCCAATTGCCTTGCTTGTAGTAGATGGAAAAATGCCTGTTTGCTGGCAGCAGTGACCTAAGCCTCCATCGTCAGCTGCGAATCCAGCTCTTAACAGTAGGCAAAGGAGATAGAGCAGCACCATTGAAGGTGGGTAGCGGATGGGTCAGACCTGTCGCACGGCCATGCCACAGGATCTCAGTCTTCGCCAGATTCACCTTCAGTCTACTAGCATGTAGCCAGTTCGACAGAGCCTCCTGACATAAGGTGAAGTTGTCTGGAATTGACGTTGCTCCCGGCTCCAAGCGCAGAAGGAGTTGGGTATCATCCGCATATTGGTAGCAGTCCAGGCTGAAACTCCGAGCCAAACTAGCAAGGGGTCTAACGTAGATGTTGAAGAGAAGAGGGGAGAGAATTGCACCTTGGGGCACCCCGGGGGATCTATCAGAGACTTGATCCATGTACTCCACGCGCTCACTCCGATTCCGGAGAAATGAGTTGAACCAATC